CTCTGCGAGCCACACGCCGTCCACAAACCCAAGCGAGCCACAGATTTCTTTATTAATAAAGCTTTAAGATAGTGTTGCTAGTGAATTATATTTTTATTTTTGTTTTTTTTTCTACGATATTTGATCATCGACGACAACTTGATCTGGATTTTTCTTCCAAATAGAACATCTCTTTTTACTAATCTTACTAATATTATAAATGCGATAGTTTAGGTGGATGAAAGAGTTTGTAGCCTAAACGGCTTAAACGATTTCGATGAAATTTCGCATAGATGTAGAGGATAGTCTGGAAGGACACACTTTTGTTTTTTTAAATCCACACGAACCGAGTCGCGGGCGAAAGCTAGTAAATTATAAGTTGAATACCGACAAGAATAACTCGGGAGTCATTGCTTCACTTGTTTTAAGTACTTAAGTCGTTAACTATCGTAAGAGCAATTATGATTAGTTAACCTTTTCTATACAAACAAAATTTCAATCTGAAACCTTGACAATTTGGATATGAAGAAAATATCGATAAAATAGTAACTATGACGTAATTCAACTGAAATTTTTTTTACTAATTTTAATTATCACATAAGATTATAGCAAATTATACAAATTCACGTTTGTTAGCTTGATACGTATAACTGCATCATTATAACTAGAGTATGAATAACGGCAGGATATTGTTGCCAAATCTCAAGTACATTCTCGTTTAGTGCCAACTGCTAATGTTCCAGAGAGGTCTAGTCTATTTGAATACGTAATTGATGCCTTTTCAAGAGAATAATCAATACAAACGTGAAGTTCAAGTTTACTAGTAATTAATGTTGATTTATTGTAGATAATTGAATTGTACAGATTCAAATTTAATCGAGTAACTGTCTGTTATTGAAAATAGGATAATTGCATATATGACATACTTGGCAATGGCAACATTGAATGAGTAAGCAATTTGTCCTGCCCTATTTTATTTAAAATACTACTCTACGAAACTACAAAGATATTTTAATTTTATCTCTTCGCTACAAAACTTTAGTGCATATTCTGATCCCTTGACGCTGCGTTTTAATTGTTATTTCAACATTTATCAATTATAAAGCATTCTCAAATGTAAATAACTTTAAACCTATAAAAAATATAATATAACATACAAAATAGTAATAGTAATTAAGTATTATTTCTATAAAACAAAATGTCCGTTCATAATAGTGATGTTTCTCCTACGTAGAAAGAATATGTAAGGCCGATTGACAACCAACTCGAGTTCCGGCGCCTCGTCCCACTCTATACCTGGACAAATAGCATCATTGTAATGTAAAACCATCATTTACTATTTACAACAGAACAGTTTTTGTCATTTCATCACCATCATCATCACCCTTTGTCTGGCCAAATCATCACTTAAAACTTAATATTTCCAATCGTCAAAGTATGATTTTAGTTTACTTTCGGCTTAAATTTAAGTTAGAATGTAACACCACTTGATGCTATAGATTAATAACTTACCATCGTCTTTAAAAGCATTACGTCCCGCCTCCGCCCAGAACATGAGGCGCTGCACCGCGTGGGACAGGCGCAGCTCGCTGCACTCCGCGTCCTCATCGTCTACCAGACGAGATATGCCCATCTACGAATACGATATCGGACTAACTTTCACCCGCTACTCCGGTTGCGAGGAAATAAAAATCGTAGTAAATAGCCTGTATGTTCTTATATCTTTGTGCAAAATTTCATCTAGATCCTAAGAGCCCTTTCAGAGATTAATAATAAAACTCAGCGGCTAATCAACCAATTATTCTTAATTCAAAGTCTAACGACTAAAGTATTTGATGATTTTCGCTTTTTTCTTGGATTATTGTATTCAAATTGCGTCTCTGATTATTTGTTGCTCGCGACTTCGTCCGCGAGAAACTTAAAAAATAATGAAAAAGTATTTCTAACAGTGAAAGAATTTTAAAATCGGCCTGTAGCTTTGGAGTTTTTTGAATACATACAAAAATACAAATCTTTCCTCTTTATAATGTTAGTATAGATTTGTGCTTGCATATTCTGTACCGTATGACGTAGCAATACTTGTAGATTGCATTTCCTATCTTTTGTATATATTAAGAGACGAGAAAGAAACACTTACTGCTTGTAATTTGTTCGGTAACAGGAGAGTCATGCGGAGCGTATACAATGGGAGTGTGACGGCCACGCGCAAAGTGTACATGCGGTCTAACACGTGGTAGATACTAGTGTCAGCCACGTGCCCCGCCAGCTGGCGCAGAGAACGTCCTCGCGGCACCAGCAACAGTAGAGAGAGACCGGGAGTTGCGTAAAATATTTCTATAGCCTAAGGAAAAAAATATGCTGTTTTTGTATGTCGTAGTGTAGTCGGTTTTTATTGACTTTTTAGTTACATTTTCATATCTGTGGGTGTAAATAACGTTATGGTATATGTGTACAAACATATCATATTTGGAACAATGTCTGGCAAATGGTATCAAATAACAAGAGCACTAATTATCTCTGGGGGCGTTGCCTATCCAGTGTTTAGAACGTAACCATTATGTCAACCTTTATTCCCGATT